CAAAGGTAAGGTAAAGGTAAAGGTTCCCCTTGACATTTTAGTCAGTCGTGTTCGACTCTAGGGGGTGGTGCTCATCTCCATTTCCAAGCCGTAGAGCCAGAGTTTGACCGAAGACAGTTTTCGTTGTCATGTGGCCAGCGCGGCTATACATGGAACGCTGTTAAACAAAGGTACGATCTATCAATTGAAAATGGTTTTGAAGGAGATGAAGTCAGGAAATGTGTGGAAATCTAAGATACATGGGCATCACCTGTGATGGATGGGAGCTGGATAACTACCATATAGGAGTGCTCCTGGGGGTGATTGGCAAAAAGAATGGTAGCCTTGTTGGATGGACAGGTAGTGAGTGCTTGACAATATGTTGTAAATGCTGGGAAATGGGAATGTATTCTATAGTCACTTACCTTGCACCATATTTCAAGATGCCTGTTTTGATTCCCTGAAGTTTAAATTTTCTGCTGCATCTTCTGCAACAGATTGCAAAGCAGCACCAAGGAATGCATATCCTACAGTTGAGCCCCATGTTATCAACATATTGGCTCCCTGCTGTTGCTTAGGGCCAAAACGCCCAACTAATAGCTTCACAATGAAAAAGAAATAAAATGTTATCCCTCTAGAGCAGTGATGATGAACCTATGGCATGCATGCCACAGTGGCACGCGGAGACAGCTCCCTTGGCATGCAAGCAGAGCACTACCCCCCACTACCCATCCCCACTACCCACCACCACCCCACAGCCGAACCTCAAACTGCACCATCGTCAGCCACCGCTTCCTCCTATTTTCCTTGGTTCCGGCACTCCTTCTTTAAGAGATCGGAGATAAGCCTGCTTGATTGGTTACAGCTGGCCCCTGGCAGCCAATCCAGGGCTTGTGAATGACTGCTTCCTCCTGGAGGTGACTGCAAGCTGGAGGGAAAGGCTCCAGGTTAAGGAGGGAAGGAACATGCAACTTCATCAAGCATATTTAAATGTATATACAAAATGGAGGGAGCGAGAGAGGTGTGTGTGTGTGTATGTGTGGGAGTGTGTGTGAGAGACTCAAAACTGAAAAAAATAACTGATTCAAGGAGGGAAAGCTCCAGTTGAGGGAAGGAATGTGCAACTTCATCAAGCTTGTTTACATGTATGTACAAAATGGAGGGGAGCGAGGATGTGTTTGTGTGTGTTTGTGTGAGAGAGAGAGGGGGGAGGGAGGGAGACTGACTCAAAACTGTTAATCTTCACTGCATTTAGCTCTGCAGTTTCTGCTGAAAACAGAAGTCTGAAGTGTGTAGCAATCGTGTCTCTCTATTTACCATCCCCAAAGCAGGCAAAAGTATCAAAATTTAATTCCCAAAATCTGAATCCCAGTCTTTCTGTTCCTGGTCCTACTTTGACTGCAACACTAAACAAAGGATGGTGGGTTTCTTTATTGTGTCACTCCATCTCATGTGCAGCCTTCCTCTTTTCCTACTGCTTTGCACTTTTTCTTTCATTGCTGCCTTTTCCAGTTAGCTTGTCTTCTTATGATGCCACTATAGTACAGTACCCTTTGTTTGGTTATTTTAGCTTGTAGTGAAAGTCCACACTTAACTTGCTTTACTTATCTTTCTGACAAGTTATGCTATCTGTAAAACTCTTTTCCAACACTACATTTCAAATAAGTGAAATGTGTGTATACACTTTATGTAGTGTATTAAATGTGTATTAAAAGTCTGCACTCCTATATATAGCTGCTTTTCTGGGGGTGGTTTACTTTGGAGGAAACAAGTCCAGAATTTCAATGTACTTAATAAGCTTTGTTGTTTAGTCGTTGTGTCTGACTCTTCGTGACCCCATGGCCAGGCCCTCCTGTCTTCCACTGCCTCCCGGAGTTGGGTCAAATTCATGTTGGTTGCTTCGATGACACTGTCCAACCACCTCATCCTCTGTCGTCCCCTTCTCCTCCTGCCTTCACACTTTCCCAACATCAGGGTCTTTTCCAGGGAGTCCTCTCTTCTCATGAGATGGCCAAAGTATTGAAGCCTCAGCTTCAGGATCTGTCCTTCCAGTGAGCACTCAGGGTTGATTTCCTTCAAAATGGATAGGTTTGTTCTCTTAGCAGTCCAGGGGACTCTCAATAGTCTCCTCCAGCACCACAATTCAAAAGCATCAATTCTTCTGCGGTCAACCTTTTTTATGGTCCAGATCTCACTTCCATACATCACTATTGGAAAAACCATAGCTTTGACTAGGCAGACCTTTGTCGGCAAGGTGATGTCTATGCTTTTTAAGATGCCGCCTAGGTTTGTCATCACTTGCCTCCCAAGAAGCAGGCATCTTTTAATTTTGTGGCTGCTGTCACCATCTGCAGTGATCATGGAGCCCAAGAAAGTAAAATCTGTCACTGCCTCCATCTCTTCCCCTTCTATTTTCCAGGAGGTGATGGGACCAGTGACCATCATCTTCGTTTTTTTGATGTTGAGCTTCAGACCATTTTTTGTGCTCCCCTCTTTCACCCTCATTAAAAGGTTCTTTAGTTCCTCCTCACTTTCTACTATCAGAGTGGTATCATCTCCATAACTGAGGTTGTTGATATTTCTGGCAATCTTAATTCTGGCTTGGGATTCCTCCAGTCCAGCCTTTCGTATAATGTATTCTGCATAAAAGTTAAATAAGCAGGGGGACAATATAGAGCCTTGTTGTACTCTTTTCCCAATTTTGGACCAATCAGTTGTTCCATATCCAGTTCTTCCTGTCATATAGATTTCTCAGGAGATGGACAAGGTGGTCAGACACTTCCATTTCTTTAAGAACTTGACATCGTTTGTTGTGGTCCATAGTCAATGAAGCAGATCTTTTTCTGGAACTCCCTGGCTTTCTCCAGAATCCAACACATGTTAGCAATTTGGTCTCTAGTTCCTCTGCCCCTTCAAAATCCAGCTTGTACTTTGGGAGTTCTTGGCCCATATACTGCTGAAGCCTTCCTTGCAAGATTTTGAGTATAACTTTGCTAGCGTGTGAAATGAGTGCAATTGTACGGTAGTTGGAGCATTCTTTGGTACTGCCCTTCTTCAGGATTGGGATGTAGACTGATCTTTTCCAATCCTCTAGCCACTGCTGAGTTTTTAAACTTGCTGGCATATTGAGTGTAGCACCTTTACAGCATCATCTTTTAAGATTTTAAATAATTCAACTGTAAAGCCATCACCTCCACTGGCCTTGTTGTTAGCCAGGCTTTCTAAGGCCCACTTGACTTCACTCTCCAGGATGTCTGGCTCAAGGTCAGCAACTTCACTATCTGCCTTGTCTGGGTGCTGCATGTGTTGCTCTCAAACTAACAGCATATGGGCCAAGGTTTGACAAATTTTCAGCATACATACAACTTCACAAATCACATTGTGCAAAAGCATGCCAAGTTGAGTATCCCTTATCAAAAAATACATGCATATAATTATTTTAAAAATTTGTATAAATTACCTGGCTTGTAGTACTTTAATATTTGTTTCCATTTACTAGAGTTAATGGTTATTTTTCAATAAAAAAGTGTTTGTATCATTGAAACTTCTCTAATGTTTTGAAGACAAAAGGTGATGATTAATTCAGAAAACATGTATGAGTTCTTTTTCTAAACTAGAACATCAGTATTCAGATATAATTGCAGTGTTGGTACTTTGAACGAAATAATTTGGTTTTGTGTCGCTGTTTGGGCACTCGGGCTCAAAAAGGCTAGACATCACTGCTCTAGAGTCATATACCTTCAAAGCTATTGTCTCTGTGCAGTCAGCCTGCAAGTGAAGCCTATAGTTTTCTTTCCAATAACCGATCCTCAGACAAAAAAAAAAAAAACCTGACCTGCAATTTGTGAAGCTATTGAAACTTCTTGTTATGAATACTGAAAGCCCTTTGAAGCTCCACTTCTACATAGGTAGGCATGTCTCAAATAATCTGATCGTTTTAAGTTTCAAATATGGCAGCTTGTTTTTACTTCTACGTGACCTGGTCTCATGCTTACATGCCTGTTTGAGTATTTCAGCTCTACCCCACAACTGAAGATGCCATACTAAAAATGTTTTGATTCAGCTACATTTGCTATAGTTAACCCTAGATCTCAGCGTTCTGCTTTTTAACCTGCTCTCTGACCTGCTGAAGGAATTCCCTATTCATTTTCAACATTACACAAAGTTCACAAGATTTGGAATCCAGAAGATACTGTATCAACCGGGTCTTCTGAGATGAAGACTAGCAGGTTGCCTTATATCAAAGGTTTTCATAATAACTGCAGTTGTCCTGTGAATGTTATATTTCTCCAACTAGACCATCAGTTCCAAATAAAGTCAATGATCCCTGCTAAGCCGTGAACATTCAGTGAGAGGATGCCAATAGTTCAGCCGTTCCTTAAATATCTTACATAGCTTGAAAACCCTATTAGGATCTCCATAAGTCGGAAGGAACTTGATAGGATATAAAGCATAGAATATTTATTGGTCTATTCTTCCCCTCACCAAAACTTTGTGCATTACAGAAAAGATGCTTCTCTATGACATCTATGCAGAGATTTTTCTGTATTCAGTCACCCAAGTTTCACTGAATGCCTCTGAAAGCATTTACCCCCAGCACTAGGAGCTGTATTGATAGCTCCATCTCTCCCTCTCCTGAGAGCAGTCAGCATGCAGTGCTGCGTCTACTTATAAGTGCCCCAGAGATGACTGTAACCTCATATTGATCAGCTGATTGAAGATAAATGACAGAGCTGCTGGTACTGCAGATTACATCATTAACATGGTCAGTAAACCATGAATTGTTCAATAAGGCGTTTATCTTTTTTCATTTTATTCTGCTCTTTTATCATTTTTATGATAAGGAACAGTTACACACACTAATCACGAGGATCTGTTTTAAGAGAGAACAGACATGGACAAGCATGTCAGTGTCAGAACTAAGCGAAATCTAATGGCTTCAAGATACTTAGTAAATGTTTTTTAGCTGAAGAAAAATATAGACTTCACTGATCATTTTTCTCACTCTGTTTCTCTTTTAGTTTCCTTTTGCTTCATATTTAATGGATGGAGTGCTGGAAAAACTAAATGAGCAGAAGAAGCTGGCAGAAGAATATAGTTCTCTTGTGAAACAAACGACCTAGGTGCTGGTGAATTCAGTTTTCAAAGTGAGGAAGGGCTCTCTTTTTTGCACTTTAATGCCATGCCTGACACTGATTCACAGCAAGGGCTGAGTCACAGTTGATGGTAGCAGGTATATTGGCTGCATTTACATAGCATTTGTGAAGTATGAAATTGAGATTCACATCTTCAAGTTTGGGGTAGATACACATCACACCCAGGAATCTCACCTCTTGTAAGGTACAAAGCAGCCTGAATAGAAAGGAAGTATCATTGATATGGGATTTACTTCTAAGAAAAGCCCAATGTAAAATTTGGCTGTAAATCTCCTTTCTTTTTCTGTCATCCATTCATTCTGTACCAGGGCAGGCAACTTGCTCCTCTCACACCATCTTTGCAGCCCTCCCTGAGCCCTTCCACCATGGATTCAGGCACCTTGGCCCTAATTTGAGCCGAACTGGAATTTTGGTAGCCATGGCAGGTTTATTAGCAATTCCTTGTTGCATTCCAGTGGCAAGGCAGCCCCTTGGCTGCAAGAGGTTCCCCACTCCTGCTTTCTACAAAGTGTGTAAGTATTAGTACTGGGACCATTTGATTTTAGTTTTTCTTCCCCAGTTAGAAATAGTACCATCATTTGATTGCCTTAAAGCAATGAAAACAGAAATGTATTTTCCTAGTAGAAAACAAGATACAATGTTAGTAAGTTTCTTAGAAACTATTATTATACATGGAATACTTTTGAGCACAGCCTATTAGGAACTTTGGCAGCTTCTGTCTGCTGTGCCATACAAAGAAAAGACATGTCAATTTTATTGTAATTCTTTTGAAGTTATGGGGCCAAATTTGGTGTCTTTTGAAAAATCTAACCATTGCTAAGACTATAGGTAATTTCCTTTTTGTGCAATACATCACCAAAAATGTGGGAACTGAGAAACAAACAGTGGTTATTGGAGAAGTTTTAAGACGCATTGAACAGTCACGTACTTTATATTCTCTACAATAGTGAAAGAATATATCCTGTGTGCAATGTACTTAATTGTTTTATATATTTCATCTGAATAAATGATTTTGAGTGTGTCTTTTACAGATTCTCATTTTTCTCTGTTTTACTGTCTGTATATATTTTTCTACAATAATTAGAACCCAGAGGCCTATCTGCTGGTGTCCAATGTGGAATTAGAGGCTCAGGTGAGAGACGCATGCTTAGGCCTGTGCACATGCTATTTGCAGTCCACTGCTTTCCAGATATGGTGGACTAACTACAGCTCTCATCACCGACTGAATGCATGCCCATTGGCTGAGTGGTCAGAGATATAGTTCAAACCAACTTGAGAATGCCAAGCTGGAAAAGGCTTTCTCCTATATGATTATTCCCCTCTATGATATTGCCCGAGTGGCTGATTAACACCTGATGATGTCTAGATGGGTGTTATGCCTGTGCTGTCCACTTGAAGGGTTTAAGGAACATAAGAGGAAACACCTTTCCTTGATGCATAGACTGGATTTACTCTTAAATAGACATAGATATGGGCTTTTGATAGACTTTTCCTACTCTACAATCAGTTCAGCTGGGTAGAAAATGCCTGAGTAACTGCTGTTATTTGTGGAAATGTGAACAGATATATATTTTGAGTGTTTTAACACACCCCATGTTAACCTGTGCCATCAGGGAAGGAGTTAGTGATGATACGACAGTTCTGCATCTTGTGTAAGTGACAGAACACACTATCACAGTTGCTTTTCAATCCATCCAAATGACAAGGTTGTAAGATTGTCAGGAGAGGGAGACTCTTCAGTAGCACTTAATCAGAAGTGCTCCTGAACTAGAGCTAACTCAAATATCCCTTGACTCTTCTGTATCAAAAATATTGCCTTCCCCCTTTTCCCTTCTTTTTCTTAAATCACTTTTCATGTCTCTGATTTCTGCTTCAATATTTTTGCCTGCTGGCTGAAATAATTTGGGAGAAGGTTACACTTTGTAGATATGTGTTATCATCTTTAATTATTTTGGAGCCTGAGTAATGGCCACACCCAGAATAGAAACCAATCCTTTGTTCTGATTTACATGCATCCTTATTCCTCTTTGCTTTTGAATTTCTTCTGATTGATCCTTCTTTAATTATTGATTCTGGACTCCCCCACCAGTATGGGAATGTACTATTTTCAGATTACAGTAAATTCAGAGCCAAGAAATGTTTGTTTCCCACCAGATGTACTTCAAAGCAGAATGGGGAAAGGAACATGTTCTTGAGACCTACCCAGAGACATAGGATGAATATCGCGTTCCAGGAAAGTGAGCTGTAATCTACAACCTCTTCTTCTTCAAACAAAGGAGAATAAGCAGTAAATCTGTTGCTGGGTCTTTCAGCTAAGCTACATATACAGCAAAAACATCTCTTGCTGCACACTGCAAGTGGAAGAATGCATACTTCAATACATCAACGTGTAGAAAAGTAGGACAAAAGGAGAAAAAAATAGTCCAATCCTTTTCCTGAGGTGTTAACAACCAGCAATCTGAAATGTGCAGTCCAAATGATTTGCAGAACATTTAGAACAGATTCTGTAATGTAATACTAGCTTTGTAGATCCAGGACAGCCTTCCCAACCTGATTCCTTCGAGATATGTTAGACTTCAACTGTCATCTCCAGCCAGCATGACCATTGGCTGAAGATGATTGAAACTGTAGTTCTACACATCAGAGGGCATCAGATTGTGTAAGGTTGGCTCTCCACGTTTGCTGCTCGCACTGAAGACTTTTCTCAGCTGGTAGCCCCCCCATTCTGAATTATCGTAGACAATCCACAAGCACCTGTACTATCCAGCAAAAGGTTAAGTAGAACAGCTGTTGATTATCCAGTTTCTCTTCAAGCTTGTAGTTCTTACCTTTTGTTGGTTTGAAGTGGAGCAAGTTCATAAATTTCGTTTTACTAGTGAGAACAAGTTTCTTCTTTGTGGTCTCTGTGAATCACACTTGAGTGTTTTTGCGCTTGTGCAAAACCTCGCCGAACATTCTAGAGCTTTAAAAAACTATTCAAACAGCCCCCATACACACAATGCACATGCTTAGTTATCCCTTAGTTTTCTTTAGCTGCCACTGAGGAAGCTTTCTGAGAACATTCACTAAAGCATATTTAGTGAAAAAATCTTAAATGTTACTCTTTATTGTTCCCATTGTCTGCATTGTCTTAGTCTTCATCTGCTGCACCTTTTTGTGAGTTGCCCCTTTAAAAAAAGTTAATCATTTTATTTGTCTCCCCCTCATATTTTATGGCCCCAGCAGGCCTGTTAAAAAAGTTGGACTGCAACTCTTATGGGCCAATGTATCCAAAGTTACTCTGGGGATGATATTCAAACATCTCACCCTGACGATCCAGGTGACTACGAATGCAAATCTTACAGGTTTGGGTTTACACTGCCAAGATTGGCAATTCTACATCCTCTGGTCCAAGGAGGAAAGAAATATGCACATAAATAAACTGGAACTGCTTGAAGTAATTAAGGCTTTAAAGGTCTTTGAAATAATGATCTCGGGCAAAGTAGTATTAGCCGCCACGAACAATACCACCATGATGTGCTACATAACCAAAGGGCAGAATGCATTCTGTGTCTCTTTTCCTGGTGGTGGTTCATTTCTGGGAATGGTGCCTCCTACATCAACCTCCCATCATTACTGTTTTGCTCCCTGCACAGTGGTGGACTGGGGTGGGGACTGAGGGATAATTCTTAGACACAGGGGCATGTATGGTGGGGGATGTTCTAATGGTTCTTTAAGCTCTAGGATGTACCAGTTAGGTTTTGTACAGGCACAGAAACATCATGTGTGAATTCACAGATGACTACTTGAAGAACCACAGTTACAAGTAAGTAACCTGTTGTTATTACTAGTTTGCTAAGTACAGCCCTATGTCCTCCAAAAGAACATCCTATGAGCAAAGCATTTTCTCACAGACAACTTCCTTTTAAAAAGTAACTTCAAGAGTAAAATTCTAAAATCTCCTTTAACCTCTGTTGCTATTATGTGCCATCAAGTTGGAATCAATTTACAGTGACTCTAAGAGGGTTTTCAAGGTAAATGAGATATTTGAGGAGTGGTTGTACCAGTGCTGTAGACCTAGTGAGTTTCCATGGTTGAGTAGGCCTCCTAAATCCTAGTATGTTCCTTTAACCACAGTCTGTTAACCTCACAGGGTGCATGGGGTTTAGGGTGAAAGCCGACAAGTACATTGATAACCTTGCACCATGCAACAATCGTAAGAAAACTTCTGCCCTAAAGCTGGGCATCTGGAATGTACGGACAATGACCCCTGGCTTTTCTGACTACGGCTTTTCTGACAACCTGCAGGAAATAGACAACGTGTGCAAGACAGCTGTCATCGACATGGGACTGAGTAGACTGCAGATGGACATAATTGCCCTGTGAGAGATGAGATTGCCAGACTCGGGATCTGTCAAAGAAAAAAACTTCTCGTTCTTCTGGCAGGGAAAATCATTGAATGAGCCCAGTGAATATGGTGTTGGCTTAGTGCATATCCACCAACACTGTCATCCACTACAGAAGTGAAAGACAAATTCTACGACAATCTGGCAGCTACTATCAAAAAAGTCCCTGAGAGAGAGCTCATTCTCGGAGACTTTAACACTAGAGTTGGTGCTGATCACAATTCTTGGTCCACTTGTCTATGCCGTTTTGGCATTGGGAAGATGAATGAAAATGGCCAACACTTGCTGGAGTTTTGCTGTTATTATGGTCTCTGTCAGCAACACGTTCTTTAATACGAAGCTTCAACACAGAGTTTCCTGGAGACATCCAAGATCCAAGCATTGGCATCAGCTCGATTTGATCCTCACTAGACATTCTACCCTTCCTAGTCTTATGGTCACACGCAGTTACCAGAGTGCTGATTCTGATACTGATCACTCCCTGGTGTGTAGTAGAGTAAAACTGCGAACAAAGAGATTGTATCACACGAAAAAGGAAGGAAGACCATGTATTAACATCAACAAGACTCGCAATCAAAAAAAAGTGGAGCAATTTGCCCAAGCGCTTGAGGAAACCCTTCCAGGCCTGGCTGATGCAAATGCACCTGAACAATGGGAACATTTCAAGAACGCTGTGTACAACACCGCCTTGTCCACATTTGGCAAGAAGACCAAAAAGATGTCCGACTGGTTTGAAGCCCATTCAGAGGAGTTGATGCCAGCTATCAAGGAGAAGAGGAGAGCTCTAGCAGCATACAAAGCCTGTCCTAGTGAGTACAACTTGCAGGCTCTTTGAGCTGCTCGTAGCCAAGTCCAACAGGCTGCCAGGAGATGTTCCAATGATTATTGACTTCAGCTCTGCTCTCAGATACAGATAACAGTGGACACAGGTAACATTAAGGGAATGTATGATGGTATCAAGCAGGCTTTAGGTCCAATACAGAAAAAATCTGCTCCCTTGAAGTCTGCTACATCCCGGACCGAGCATAGCAGATGGACTGCTGGGTGCAGCACCACTCTGAGCTATATTCCAGAGAGAATGTAGTAACCGAAGAGGCATTAAATAACATTGAGTTCCTGCCTGTCTTGGAAGAGTTGGACAGCGAGCCAACTTTAGCAGAAATAAAAGCGGCCCTGGATTCCCTCGCCTCTGGCAAGGCACCTGGAAAGGATAACATCCCTATTGAAGTGTGGAAGTTTTGTAAAGAAACCATCACCACCGAACTGTATGAAGTATTTCTTTGCAGGAGGGAAGCTGGAGTACCAGAGGACATGAATGATACAAACATCAAATTGTATAAGAACAAAGGAGACGGGACTGCAATAACTACTGTGGCATCTCTCTTCTCAGCTTAGTAGGGAAGCTTCTTGCCCGTGTTGTACTGAAGAGACTCCACGCCTACAGACAGTCTATCCAGAATCACAGTGTGGATTTCGAGCTAATAGATCCACCATTGACATGGTATTCTCCCTCAGACAGTTGCAGGAGAAATGTAGGGAACAACGACAGCCACTCTTTATGGCCTTCATAGATCTCACAACTCATGAATCATTTTAGCAAGGCCTG